GGGTTGCAGCTTAGGGCACATTTCTCGCTGTCTCCCACGTGCCAGGGGCCTCCACTGTAATCGGGCGTGGCGTCATGGGCTGCACGGGGATTGGGCAAAAAAAACTACTGACCCACTAGCTGTGCAAATAGAGATTTTCGGCTGTGCAAATAGTAATCCTCCTATCAAATTGTTGCTTTAATTTCAATTCCGACTGATTTTGGTGGCTATTGGTCTTGACCGATGCTGAGTTAAAGCAATTCGCCCGAACTCGGAGCATACCTAAGCAAGCAGTATGCCAAGAGTCCCTCATGAGATATCTTTGCAAACAATACGAGGAATGGGAATGAGTCTTCAGACTTCTTTCACCAGAATAAACTTGGCTCCGGACATACGGAGCTCAAATAGACTGAATCCCATGGATCATGAGAGTGGTGGCCCTCAATTTCAAGTCGAGCAAAGTCGAGCTCAGCAGATAACTACATGTGTCGCAAGTATGGGTATCGACGCCATTGTCCAGTCCTAAAGCAAGCCCGTAAAAACGCCGAGTATACGCAGCCCTCCCAATCCCCGGCCTTCACATGCCGTACCGAGTCACACACTCCTCCCGATGCGTCTCCAAGCACTCCAGCGCGCACACCCTCGTCCCGCACTTCATACACCTCACCCGGCCCCAGTATCCGCACACTGCGCAAAACACCCTCGTCGGATACGCGTCGCCCCATTTCCCCCGCGTCTCGAGGTACGTCAGCGGCGGGTGCGCCAGCAGCTTCCGCAGCTCCTCGTCTGAGGGCATCGCCGGCACGCGCGACATGAGCAGCGGGTCGCTGTCGCCGGGGTGGGTGATTGGCGGAGATTTGTACGGCGGCGGGAGGACGGGAGGCAGGTTGGCGTCGGCCATGGGGGTGTCTTCGTCTTTGGCCTGTTGTTTCGCCGGCGCGTCTTTCTTGCCCGGCGCTGGGCGCCTGGTGGTGTTCGAGCTGGAGCCGCCCGGTCTCGCGCTGCTGTTTTGTGCGTTCGGGTTCGCGTCCGCAAGCGCCTGCATCGCTAGGAAGTCGTCCAGGTGGTTCGCAAACGTCTTCTGCGACTGCATGATCTTGCGCACGTTGGGCGTGTACTTTGCTTGTGCTTCTCAAGTCAGCCCTCGGCTCCCGTTACAAGCCCAATCCCCACGTACCTCTGCCGCTCTTCACAGGTAGCGGAATCGAGTTATCTCTCCCGCCGTCTCGGTCCAGCGCCTCAACCTCCTTGCGTATCTTGGCCTCTTGCCGCGCCGACAGGTCGCCCTGGCTGGGGCCGCCTCTAGGCGCATTCCGGGCGCGCTTGCGGCTCGCGGGTTGGATACCGGCCGAGCTGGGGTTCGGCCGCGTGTCCGGCACGTATGCCCACCCCGGCGCCGCCGTCGTCTTTGCGCTGGCAAGCTCGATGACGCCAAAGTTGTTCATCGTCGTGGCGTCTAGTCTGTTGTGATGTCTTTTGGATTCCGGAGCTGGGTAGCGGGGCAGAATCTCCCCCGGAAAAATCCGCCACTGCCACACCCAAGAGCTCCAGCCACAGGCCCCAATCAGATGTCCCCCGGTGTCGTGGCTTCCGAAGCTACCAGCTCTTGTCAACCCTCTTCCAACCCTCTGGCACAACTTCCGACAAGACCACTCACCATGCCTGGGGCTGCGAGAATACTCTTCACGAGCGGCAGCCGCGCGCTGGCTGCCCGCACCTTTCACACTTCTGCGCGGCGGATGGCCGACGGTGCGGTGCTACCCGCGCGGAAACCGATGGGAGCTTTCCGGGGAGGGTGAGTGCCGCGGCTTGACGGTGGCGGACTGGGTGATGCATTAGGTGATCGAATCGCTGACGATCGGCTACGTGTTTAGACTCTTCGGCTTCTTGTTCGGTTGCGTTCTGTCCGGCGGCGCCGTCTACAGCTACGTCCTCGGGGAGTACAAGGCCTCCAACGACCTCTTGACCGAGGATATCTACGTGCGTCACCCCGAGCTTTGCGATATTTACACCAACACGCCTTGTGCTTCCAAAACACCCTCTCATTCTCTTCGGAAGCTCCACCGACCCGAAAAGTCCATACCGGAAAGCATACGTACTGACCATTATTACAGTCGCTCCAAGCCTCCGTTACCCGCCTGAGCAATTACGTCAAGGCTCTCGAGGACAGGACTCAGGGAAAGAAATGAGGACGATCCAGGCCATGCACTGAGGGACTTGAGGAACGGACAGGCTGTAACAATACTACGTGTGGCGATCGACGCCCACTCCTGCATCACAATATAAAGAAAGTTGATTCAAACTGCTGTCGCGGCTCTCCCCGGCCGACACATTGTCGCTCGCATGTTTTTCGTAAAAGAGAGATTCCTTTTTTTCGCGGAAACTATAAAACCCCAGGTGCTTAGATAACCCGTAAATCCGTGCCCGTATAGTCATAATGGGGCATCTTGTTCTTTCGCACTAGTACATCATCACATTTACAGCTCGTCGTGATCCTCATCCTTCTTCTCGTCCTTCTTCTCATCCTTCTTCTTCTCATCCTTCTTCTCCTCCTTCTTCTCGTCCTTCTCGTCCTTCTCCTCGGTGGCGGCAGGAGCGGCCTCCTCGGTGCTGCTCTCCTTGACTGAGATGCCAGCCTTGTACTTGCCGTTCTCCTTCATGAACTTGACGAGGTCCTCAATGGTTCGGGCGCCGTTGTAGGTGACGGGGGCGTCCTTGGCGCCGGCGGGGTACATCTTGATGGTAGGGAAGCCAGCGATATCATCAGGGACGTCGTTCAGAGTGGCATCGACCTTGGCGATGACGACTTTGTCCTTGAACTCGCTGCTGGCATACTGAGAGGCGAGGTCGTCGTACTTGGGGGCCAGAGCCTTGCAATGGCCGCACCACGGGGCGTAAAACTCAATCAGGACATCCTTGGTGTTGTCGAGGACGATCTGGTCGTAGTTCTTGGCAACGACGACGGTGACCGGGCCCTCATGCTTCTCGGGGATGGGCTCGGACTTGATGCTGGGCTCAATCTTGCCGGCAGTGTACTCGTCAACGAATTTGGCAATGTTGTCGTGAGTGATCTCCTTCTCCTGATCAAAGGGGAACTTGAGGTTCTTAACAGTGTCCTGGATGGCGAAGCTGGGGAACTTGTCGGTCTTGAGGTTCAGGTTGTTGGCGTGGGCACCGAACTGCTTGGCGTCAATCGTGGCGAAGTTGACCTTGCCCTTGAACTTCTCGGCGATGGGCTTGACGGCCTTGCTTAGGTCATCGCGCTCCTCCGGGGTCTCGGCGAAGATGTAGGCCAGAGGGAGACCGGAAGCCATGTAGCCGGCGTAGGTGTCGGGGCCGACTTCGCCAACCAGGGGAGTGGCAGAGGTCTTGGCGAACGCCTTGATGGCATCGGCGTCGAACTTGCCCTGGAACTCGTTCTTGCCCTCGTCAAAGGACTTGTACAGGACGATGGAGGGGAACTTGGCACCCTCGGCCTCGGCGATGGCGGCGTCGTTGACACCACCAAAAAGGTAGTCGTCACGGAGCGACTCGGCGACGGCGGTAAAGGTCTCGTTGGAGGCCTTGTCGTCGGCGGCAATGTAGGCGATCAAGACAACCTTGTCGGCGGTCTTAAAGTCCTCGAGGGTGTCCTTGGACAGGATAGAGACGGCGGGCAGAGACTGCTTCACCATGTAAGAGGTGATGCTGCGGGGGATTCGTCAGCCACTGCATCAAGAGAAGAGGTATGCGCTTGGGAACATGGCGGCAACTCACGCAGCAGCCTTGCGCTGGCCGTTGTAGGGGCTGATGTTCTCAGCGCCGCGGAAGACCTTGAGGGTCGGGTAGCCCTCGACGCCGTACTCCTTGCAGAGGTCGGCCTCCTCGGTGCAGTCGACCTTGGCCAGCTTGATGTTCTTGGCCTTGAGGGACGTGGCCGCCTCCTCGTACTCGGGGGCGAGGGCCTTGCAATGGCCACACCACGGAGCAAAGACTACGGGCGGGGTGGGAAGTTAGCGGGCGGTCCTCAACATGCATGGACGAGACTGGGCAACGTACACTCAGCCAGGACAAGGTCGTTCGACTTGACAAAGTCGCTGAAGGTGTCCTTGGTCAGCGTCGCGACGTCCGACTCGGCCGCGGCGAAGGCCGCGAACGCAGCCATGAGGCCGCAGGCAAGACGGTTCTGATGCATGGTGAGGGCTGGCTTGCTGCAGTGAGCGCCGGCTAATGGGTCAGACCGAGGGAGAAGCAATCCTTTCGGAGCCCGACAGCTAAGAAAGACGAAGGGAGGAGGATGGGTTGTTGGAGGAAGAAGACGTGGAGTTTGGAGTTTGGCTGGGACGGGGACGTTTTGTACCTTGCTGGCACGGCCTTGAGGCTCGCTGTAGGCTGGTTCAATTGAACAAGTGTCCCCTTTCTCCAGTGGCCGCTGGGGTCTAGCACCCCCGCTAGTCGACCCCACTATACGCCCGCGCCACCGAACCACTCCTGCCGGCCGGTACCTGGCGCAGCACGCTTGTCCTCGCCGGGAGCCTTGTACCGTCCAGTGCGGGTGACACAAAGGCTCAGCTCACGGCCAGGACTCAGGATCTCGAACGGCCTCGCCATCTGACAGATCGGCACTCTTGGGCGCCGCCGTCCGCAGATCAGATGCGGGTGGTGACAACTGATGACACGACCTATTCCATTGGGGTCGAAGGGTCGTAGAGGACACGTTTCACTACCTTACTTAGGCGTTGTTGCAAAGTGAAAATGGCCCGTGGGCGAGCTTCAGTGAGGTACAATGCCCAATATGCCGCACGATGGCGTCAAGGCGAGCCCACTGCTGCAGCTCGTTGGCGGCATTGAACCACTGTGGTGATGACAGTTCACCTTCTGAAGCAGAACACTCACGGCTGCCTTGCTGACCCATCTGCACGAACCATCATCGGGCGCTGGCTTGGAGCTAGATGAGATCTCTCTGCTGTGGCTCAGCATTAATAGCCTCTCGTGGCACGGCGCCTCCACTGCCGTGGTTGGTGGAGGCCTGGCGGGGCAATCCGATCCTATGCATCAGCCTCGCGCGGCAACTTTTCCCCCATACTCTGTACACACATCAATATCGTCAAACTTCGTCCTCGACTCGGTTCCCTGCTCCGGCCTCGCTCACATCCCGCCGGAGCAAAATCTCTTGAAATGGGAAAAGCGCCCGTCATTGGATTGCTCGGCGGCGGCCAGCTGGGCCGTATGCTGTGTGAAGCCGGGGGACCGTTGGGATACGACATCGCCATCTTGGACGAGGACGGGTGCCCCGCCAAGCAGATCAACGTCAACGATAAGCATGTCACGGGCTCCTTCAAGGACGCTGCCAAGGTCAAGGAGCTGGCCGCGCGGTGCGACGTGCTCACCGTCGAGATTGAGCACGTCAACACCGACGTCCTCGAGGAGATTGCAACAAAGGGCGTCAGAACGGCCTCGGGGGAGCTGAGAAAAGTGCCCGTCCACCCTTCATGGCGCACCCTGCGGCTGGTCCAGGACAAGTTTGAGCAGAAAGAGCACTTCAAGGCGCAGGACATCCCCGTTGCGCCGCAGATGGCGCGGAGCGGCGGCGAGGTCCTGGCCGGTTCGCTGCGGGAGGCGTACGAGAAGCTCGCGTTCCCCTTTATGGTCAAGGCGAGGAAGGGCTCGTACGACGGCCGGGGCAACTTCAAGGTCAGGGGCCCGGAGGACTTTGAGCCGGTAGTCGAGGCGCTGGGCAAGCTGCCGCTGTACGCGGAGAAATGGGTCCCCTTTGTCATGGAGCTGGCCGTCATGGTCATCCGGACAGAGGACGACGAGGGCAACTGCACCGGCATCTACCCGTACCCCACGGTCGAGACGGTCCACGAGGACGATGTGTGCAAGACGGTCTTTATGCCCCCGCGGAAAGTCGACGCGGCAGTCTGCGCCAGGGCCCAGAAGGTGGCAGAGCGGGTGGTCAAGAGCCTCTGGGGCAGAGGTGTCTTCGCCGTGGAGATGTTTCTGCTGCAGGATGGTACGTGCAGCCGTGCAATCGACTGCGGTCATGTCACTTATCGGTTCTAGGTTCTATCATGGTCAACGAGGTGGCTCCCCGGCCGCACAACTCGGGCCACCTCCACATAGAGGCCGTGCCGTATATGTCACAGTACAAGGCCCAGCTGCACGCCATCTTGGACATTGTGCCCAATTCCATGAAGCTGATCCCCAGAGCGTCCCAGGCCATTATGCTCAACATCCTGGGCGGAGCTGCGGTCGACTCGCACAACAAGCTGGTAAAGCTGGCGGAGACGGAGTACATTGAGGGCACAGATGTGTACTTGCACCTGTACGGCAAGGCGTCGAAGCCCGGCCGCAAGATTGGCCATATTACGTTTACGACGCCCTCCCCCGACGTCGACCTGGAGAAGACCATTGCCCCCTTTGTCAACGAGGTCGGCCTCATCAGGCAACAATGCCTCAGCTCCTCGGTCGAACAGCTGCGACCTGTAGCTGCTTTACAGGCCAAGAAGACGAGCTCCCGCAACCCCAAGTCGCCGCTGGTCGTCGTGACGATGGGCTCGGACTCGGACCTGTCGGTGCTGACTGCCGGCCTGGACGTCCTGGAGAAGTTCGAAGTGCCGTACGACTGCACGATTACGTCTGCGCACCGGACGCCGGCGAGGATGACGGAGCTGGCCAACGCTGCGGCGTCGCGGGGCGTCAAGGTGCTCATCGCCGCCGCGGGGGGAGCCGCTCACCTGCCAGGCATGCTAGCCTCGGAAACGACGGTCCCCGTCATCGGCGTGCCGGTTAAGGCTACGCACCTGGACGGCAATGACAGCCTGCTGAGCATCGTGCAGATGCCGAGGGGCATCCCCGTGGCCACCGTCGGCATCAACAACTCGACAAACGCGGCGTTGCTGGCCATCCGGATACTCGGGTCGCACTACCCCGAGTACCAGGACAAGATGGCCCGGTACATGGAGAGCATGAAGGTCGAAGTCGAGGGCAAAGCAGCGAAGCTGGAAGAGGTCGGTTACCAGGCGTACCTGGCGGGAAAGAGCAGGAATTAGACGGGACGTGCAGACATAGTAGATAGCTACCTTGGTCGAATGAATATTTTTTAATGAATTTACAAGGTACCTACGCTGTGCGAATGCATTTCTACCTCTCATCTTGTCTACCCGTCTGTCCATGTCGGGATGCGTCTTCCCCTTTTTGCACCGACCCGCAAACGCTTGCTCTCCACCTCACCGTCTCTTTCTCTCTTTATGTATTCTATACTTTTCACCATTTCGCCCTGTACAGGAAGGCATCGTGCACCTCCTTGGGCTCCGCGTGGTGGTACTGGTTCGGCCACTTGACGGGGACGTTGAGCTTGTGCGCGGCATTGAGCACCCACTGGGGGTCACGCAGGAACTGCCTCGCCGAGAGGGCCAGGTCGGCCGACTGCTCCGGCCCCTCCTGGACGACGTCGCGCGCAAACTCGGCATCGTCGATGAAGCCGACGGTGCTGATGAGCAGGTCGATGCCGTCGGCGCGGAGGGCCCTGCGGATCTCGCGGGCCAGGTCCGTCTGGTACGTCTTCTGACGGCTGATCTGCTGCTGGGAGTTGTTGCCGCCGCTGCTGACGTCGAGCACGTCGATGCCCCAGGCGGGCAGCAGCTTGGCCAGGCGGATGCTCTGTCCGAGGTCCCACGAGGGCGCGCCGGCGTGCTCAATCCACTCGGTGGCCGAGATGCGCAGCCACAGGGGCATGTCGGCGGGGATGACGGCGCGGACGGCGACGACGACCTCGCGCAGGAAGCGGGTGCGGTTCTCGAAGCTGCCGCCGTAGTCGTCGGTGCGTTCCTGCATGCTCGTTAGTACCGCCATGAAGGTCCAAGTCTGCAGTCTGCGGTCTGGGGCGGTACGCACGTTGGACAGCGGGGAGAGGAAGCTGGTGATGAGGTAGCCGTGGGCGCCGTGGATCTCAATCACGTCGAAGCCGGCCTTGACGGCGCGCACGGCCGACTCGGCGAAGCTCTGGACGAGGCCCTTGATGTCGTCGACGCTCAGCCCCCGCGGCGCCGCGTGGCTCTCGGAAAAGGGGATGGCGCTGGGCCCGACGACATCGCCAGGCCACCCGCCGTGCGCCTCGTCGGCCAGCGCCTTCTCGGCCGAGCCTCGGATCCACGGCGCCAGGGTGCTCGCCTTGCGGTCCGCGTGCGCCAGCTGGATGCCGGCCCGCGTGTTCTGGCTGTGCGCAAAGTCGACGATGCGGCGCAGCGGCGCCATCTGCGAGTCCGTCCACAGCCCGGCGTCCTGCGGCGAGATGCGGCCCCGGGGCTCGACGGCCGAGGCCTCGACGACGACGAGCCCCGCGCCGTTGAGCGCGAACTGGCCGAGGTGCACGAGGTGGAAGTCTGTCAGGTGGCCGTTGTCGGCGCTGTACTGGCACATGGGCGACACGACGAAGCGGTTGTGCAGCTCGACGCCGCGCATCCGGAGCGGCTGGAAGAGCGTCGGCGCGGCGGCCGGGTGCGCGGCGGTGCCGGCAGCGGGCTCCTGCGCGGGCGTGTAGAAGGGCACGCCGGCCTGGCCCTTGTTGCGGAGGTCGAAGCGAGGCATCTCGGGTGGTGTGGATGTGTGGTGGTGGAAGCGATGATGCTCGCGCCGAAAGGGAAAGAAAGCCGCAGTATCTCAACTCGCGATGCGCTACGACCCGACAAGAGCCCAATGGAAAGCTATTCAGACAAGACTTGCGACGAAAAAGTTGCCATCTCTGCACCTCTGCATCGATGTGCGGTGCGTTATGGATGTTTATATCTTGCAGATACTTTGTACTTTGTACGAACACACCGTCACGATGATTAGAAATGCGTCGATTTGATGACGTGATGGCTCGGGACCCCTGCGGCAACGGCCAGCGAGTTGCTGAATAATGGAACGACGACCTTTTGCGCAAAGATTTTTTGTTTGAGGAGTCGTGGCTCTCGCAGGGGAGGGAGAATGTGCGAGAGCAGCCCGTGGCCTGTCATTTCGGGTCGTGATTTTGCATACGGAGTAAGGCGCACAGAACGGGTACTTCGCACGATCTACTTCGTTCACCATACACGCAATGGTGACAACAAGGTATTTCGGCGAGCAGTTAAGGTCCTGAAAGAGAAATAGCAAAATGCTTTCTTCTCATCCGCTCACCCTCACTCCCGTGCTCACCCTCACTCCCGTCTTCAAGCCGATGAACCTCTCAGACCACAAATCTCAAAACAACCCTCACCATGTCCTCCGCTCGTCTCAGCACGCAGCGTTCTTATCCTCGCCAAACCTCCAACCTCCAACCTCCCCAACCGGCCGTCCCCGTGTCCCATTCCCCTCAACCCCCTTAGGTATTAATTCCCTTGGCCTGGCTCAATGTGTCCCAGAATGCGGGGAACCTTGCCAAACCTCCGCGAGCGCACGTCCCTCCCGTCCGCCTCGGGCCAATGACCTGCCAGCTATTGCAACGGACCGCGTCCAAGGTTCATCGGTGCAACCAAGACCTTGGCGCCTCATAACAGGCACGTCCGCCCGGTTGTGTGTCCCGGCCGCCTCGTATCCTATTCCAACTACGGCGCACTCCCGGTGTTGCTGCCTCTGCTCGCCACGACGCAGACACGGCGCACGAATCATGACGAATCACAACAAACATCGCTGACCCGAGCATAAGAGACAAGAAAATTCGGGTTTTTGTACAGTACAGCAGATTCGTCAGTGTTCCCGCAGAGGGTAACCAATGACCAGCACCCGGCACGCGACGCGCAGAGGCTCGCGGCCATCTATCCCCCCATTCCTCCAAGTTTTGCTAGAAAATCAGGCTCGACAAAGCAGGCCCCTCGCAACGGAGGGTGTAAAAGTCTAGGAAATCCGTCTAAGTCTACATCCCCTTCTATCTTGGCACGTGTATTTTTCTCTTCCAGGCCGCCTGCTCCAGCCGAACAGCCGTCGCGGATTTACTTCGACTCGTCCCAAGTGGGCTTTAGGTTCCAGCGCTGGTTCTCTGAGCCCTGGGCAAAGGGGACGCCGAGCTCGAACAGCTTGGTGACGACGGCGGAGAAGTCGTTGAAAAAAGCCCCGTTGTCCTTGGCGTACTTTTCCGTGACGGGCTTGAACTTCTTGTCCTGTACCAGGACCATGTCGGTGGGAAGCATCATCAGAGTCTTGGTGGTCTTGTCCTCGTACTGCAGGGTAAAGGTCAGCAAGTGCTCAATGGCAAGAGTCTGTCGTGCTCCTCGTCTTACCTGCTTGGGACCGTTCCACTTCTTCCACTGCCACTTCTCCTCGACCAGCAGGCGGTAGTAGTCATTGGTCAGGATCGTGGGCGAAAAGGTCCAGGGACCCTCGAAGCCAGATCGGTCCTTGTGGCAGCGGCCCAGGGCGTGGGCGCCGGACAGGGCGACAATCTCCTGGTCGTTGAAGCCCATGCGATAGAAGATGTTGCGCAGGTGGTCAGAGCCCTGGGTGGCGTCGGGCAGACGGCCATCGGGGGTGCAGGCCGTCACGTCCCGGTCCGAGCGGCCGGGGCGGTAGGGGATGATGGGACCCTGCATCTCCTGGATGGCGCAGACGCCGCCGAGGATCCAGAGGTCGGAGTAGGTGATCCAGGGGAACTTGGCTGTGGAGACGACAGTTAGTGGCTGCGTCTTTGAACGAGCATCCTCCTCTCGTCGTGCAACGCCAGTGCGACTCGAGACGCCGGGATAAGAGACAAACTTACCCTTTACAGGCTCGAGAAAGTCACGGGCAGCAATCAGACCAGCGTTGGCGCCATGGCCAGACTCGGGAGCGAAGCGCATCGTGGCGCCGTTGCTGCCACCCGTGCCCGTGGCCTTATCAAAGGTACCACTGGCGTGCCAGGCGAGACGCAGCAGGACAGGGCCAAAGCTGCCATCGTCGTAGTCGTCCTTTTCCTCAAGGCGGCCCGCAATCTCGTTGTACACCTTCTGGTAGTCCTCCTTGGTAGGGTTGACGACCTTGGCCGAGGCGGCAGACGGCGCGCCGCTGGCCGTGTAGTACCAGTACCCCAGGCCACCGGCGGCGGCGGCGCCCGTCAGGTACAGCCACGTCGACGATGACTTCTGGGCGGGCTCAGACGAGTACCAGCGGCGGCCCTGCTGGCGGAAGGCCTGGCGAGGGGCGATGGCGACGGCGTTGTGCCTGGCGGCGCGGGTCGCCGTGCGGGCAAAGTGACGGGTAGCGGAGGCCATCTGGCACGGGGAAGAGCAGACATCAGCACAGCTCGGGTACGATACGACTCGACGACAGGGTAGCTCGGGGTCGACGAGAGCCGGGACAGGTGTCTTACCGTGTTGTTGCGACGAGATGTTGGGACTATCGTTGCGCAGGGGGTGAGGGTGGTGACAGAGGCAAAGGGCGCTGGAAGAACGAGTCAGGGGAAAAGGAAGGGCCCCAAGCACACATCGGCGTCGGGAGAACGAGCCACGCCTTTTCAGCAAACGACGGCAGCAGGGGGCTCCATCGATTTGGCATCTCGTTGAAATTAGAAACCTCTGACTGGCTGTCGCGGACCCGCGGCCAGCGGGTTTTTTCGTTTCGTCGCGGCTTCGGTCCTCTCGCAAGGGGCCCACGGGGACGGGGAGGAGGCCAAAAGGGTGCGCGTCCACGGTTTCAGCCGTTTGTCGCATCCCTTGCCCGCTGTGCCGTGCCGTCCGTTGGCCGTGCATCGCAAAGGGCGCATCGTGGCAGCTGCACATGGCAAGTTCAACGTCTTTTACCCGGCGCCCACCACGCACGCCACCATCCAGGAACCAGCAGTCCATCTCTGCTCGAAGCCACGTTCCGCATTATCAATCAGCCAATTCGCACCCGCAGCCGCCCATTGGTTACATCACCAACCACCACATCTGGCAGCCCCCAGCGAGCGTTTCCCAATCCCGGCGCAGGTGCCGTTTCCTGAGCGTGCCCTCTCTGGCGCCGCAGAGTCAGTCCGCCCTCTGCAGCTAGCTGCACGTTCCTCCGCGGCTCCGTTCCCGAACGGCGGCCGAGGATCGCGGATTCCGCGCTTTGTCCCACTTCTGACGCGAACTGCCCCACC